CTGCGACGTTAATCATGCTTGCCAGGCACTCTCTAGCCATGCACGGATGTGAAACCAATCTTCCTTCAGGCAGGCAGGAAACCAGATGAGACACTGGTTCCACTGCTAGTGTTAATCATTCTTGACTGGCACTCTCTAGCCATGCACAGATGTGAAACCAATCTTCCTTCTGGCAGGCAGGGAACCAGATGAGACAATGGTTCCACTGCTAGTATTAATCATGCTTGACTGGCACTCTCTAGCCATGCACAGATGTGAAACCAATCTTCCTTCAGGCAGGCAGGGAACCAGATGAGATACTGGTTCCACTGCTTTGCTAATCATGCTTGACTGGCACTCTCTAGCCATGCACAGATGTGAAACCAATCTTCCTTCAGGCAGGCCTCATACACAATAGTGCAAATTGGTTTTACAAAAATATACCTTTACATAAACCCTTCCAATTGTATAGATTTTGCAATCATGTGGAAGGATTTTTCAGTCCAAATCGTATGAGGGTTAAGTGAATTCACTCCTATACCACTGACAATGAAATGACAAGGTCGAAGGCACCAACAGGGCACACATCGTTCATTTCTTTCTCTCCTGGACCCCTCAAAACCACTTTTTTCTTGTTTTGTCCTTTCAGAAAGCGAGCGGTGGAATTGGTGGCCTGGTTGGAGTAGAGCGGAAATGTGACACTTCAGAGAATCCGGATTGCCCCAATGCTTGTGGGTCAGTGGAGGGCACCACCATTGGTGGTTGTAGGCACTGCTGCAAAGAAGACCTCTGCAACGGGGCCACCTTGGTGACCTTTAACCTTCTGACCCCGGTTGCCATGTTGGTTTCTGCCTGGTTGGGCTATTAAGCCGGGGTACAGTCCACTAATTCAAGCCCCTTTGAAACCAGTGTAAAATCAGCCTAGCACTGTTCATGGCCTAATAACATGCACGCCAACATCCCTGAGATCTCTGAAACACGTACAGATCTTGTCTGGTCACTAATCTTTCAATTTCTTTTCAATTTTTTGTGGGTTAACCAATTACATTTTTAATTATTCCCACAAAACCGTAATCACCCCCAAAAAAGTGATTTTTCTGAAGTCTGATTGCAGCCATTTCTCAAGTGGCAACCCTCAACATTCTTGGGCACTTACGACCATTTTTCAACCGTAGTTTTTAGCCCTTCTGCTCTCAGATGGAAGCCCAAAGACCCAGGGAGTTGATCCTGGCAATGCTTTACACAATCTCACCATTTTGGGGGCCAAACAATCTCCTTTTCAAAAAAATACAGTGGGGGCACTTTTAATGCTAATGAGCTGGCCAGAAACTTTCACTTGAATTAGTGGTCTGCACCCTTAATTTGGAAAGAGGCAATGATGAGGCATGATTCACACTTTGTATTCTGTGTTTGTATTCCATCTCATGTTTGTATGAGAAAAAGGTTTTTAATGGTTTATTGAATGTTTGGTTTATCCGTGTATTTCCATTATCAGAAATAATTGTGATTGCAACAACAAAATAACATGATTTCAGGCACTTTCTTTAATAAGTTATAAGGTCTTAAATTCAACAGAAACAAGTGCAGAAATAGTTTCACATTGGTACTTTTGAGACAACACTTTAAAATTATAACATACGTGTAGGTTTGTAAAAATGGATTAAATTTGGACAAATTAATAAAGATTTAGTAGATTCCTGTCAACAGGCACATAATTTTCACAAAACTTGCCTTTGTTGGATACAGGTCCAGAGCGTTTAAACCCTTAATTTACCTTCCTAAATTCTTCCCAGATTCTCCACTTTATAGAAAACCAAAGGTTTCGCATTCTTTGGATTCCAACTTTAGTTTCAAGGGACACTAATCAACACCATGTGCAAGCCCATCGCTAGGGGATGAGTAGCTCCCCCCCCCATGAGTAAAAAACCCATAAGCATAGAAATTATTTATTTACCTCCCTAGCTGGTACTGGGGCCTCCAAAAGGCCGGATCTCGAGCCTCCTTGTCGCTTTTGATGGATCTTTGGGAAAGTTTTTATTGGGGTAAAGTATAATGGGCTTTAGGATGTGTACATGTGCAATTGTTTATAAAGTCAAGATCTTCATTGTCATTTTGTTTACATTTGATGGATATGTCTGTGCATTATGAGCGGTAGACGGATGCAATTTCAATAAGCAGAAGCAAAACAAAAAATGACATTTGATTCAAACAACCAGAAGACCTAGACTTAAATGACAACAGATCAGGATATCTTTTTGAAAAGCATTGTCTTTCTGAGTTATTTACATTACCCATGTTACCTCCTTATTTCCAAGTGCACTTGTGACGCTCTCTGGGGTCTATTTCAATTATTCATTATGCAGTTCTGGGATGTTTTTCAAAGTATGAATTTTAAAAACATCCAGGTGGCAAAGGCCGTCGTTCAGATGCTAGTTTGCTCATCAAGAGGATGGATTTCCTGGATGACCCCCGTGAAAGGAGTGTGTGCTAGAGTTCCCTTGAGAAATTCTGGAAATGTTAGTGGCGAATAGTAATTCTCGATTTTCCTGTCTTGGCAAACATGTTTTTAACTTGAACTCACCAGCTTGGTAAAGATAAAAACTAACTTTTCAATGGACAAAAAA